CTGCAAGGAGCTAGCGGTAAGGTTGAGTAGATGCACAGACGAGGCACAGGGCGCCCAGGCACGGTGCGGGGAGCTCAGACGGAAAGGCAAGAGAGTGTTCGGCTGTAGCTGATGGTCCAGAGCACGAATGCACAAGGCCAGGTGTTCTAGGCCGCGATCCAAGTGTTGATGAGGTGGATGCAGTGGGGGATGTGGACAATTGAGACCGTCAGCTGCCGACGCGTATTGACGGCGACCAAGGCTCGGACAGATAGCAGTGAAAAGGTAGATAACAGTGTAGAAGTCGTCGTTGCGGAAAGTCAAATTCGCCAGACTGGAGCTTTTCGGTTGAATTCGACCTCGGAGCGCGACGCCTGAAGAGCTTCTTGAGTCTGGTGAAGAAACAACAGAAGTGATGGTGAGAAACAGGAAACTGCTTAACGCAGAGCCACCGCCTACTTATAGATGGTCAAGTAACGCTAAAATCATCGTTAATTACGACGGTCTAAGGATCCAGATGGTCTGCCAATTTAAGCCCAATCCTCAAGACAGGGGGTCAAAGGGAGGTGTTTACGTTTAAAGCGCAGGTACTGTGCTGTAACAACTAACACATGAATTGGAATCAAACATACAAAATCTGAAGAGAAAGTCGTAGAATACGATGAGAAGGAAAGTATTCATACAGCCTGAGTGGAACTAAAGTGTACTAAGCAAACGCGCAATGGGCTCCAACGTATGAATGGAGGAAAGCCCAACGCTCAGGAAATAGAGTTGTAAGGAAGTAAATAGAATTAGGCAGAATCCAATTCGTAGAAGATTCAACAAAGTTTGCTTGCCTGCAGAGGAATAATCGGGCGGTGATCCGACGGCACTGCGTAGAACATTGAGGATGAAACCTGTAAATAGAAACGAAAAAGGGCAGAATAACTTAATCGCTTGTTATCTTGGTTATCGGTGTGGCACATGCTCCACTCCATAACTTTTTAGAAGGACCATGCCGTGAAATAGCTGGGAGGGGGAGATATCCAATTTTTGTCCCTAGCAGTGGCTGGAACTAAAAAAATAGTTGCGCCCTCTATGGGGAAGCCGGTGGTAGTTAACCGGTTTTCATTAGCTATAAATAAATAAAATGAATTAGGGGCATGGCAACCTTAAGTTAAGGCGTAGTATAGTGAATGAGACAATTGGCTACAAAATACAAAGAACCTCGGCAGTAATCAATTTGAGGCAAAGGTTCGCATCCCAGGTATGTGCATAGATTGAGAAGAAGCAG